AGCAGCTCTGGTGCTGTATGGTCTTCATCAGTAGATCACACTCAAGGTTAAAATAAATCCTTTAAAAGTGCACAAAACTGTGGGAAATATATTTTTTCTAACCATTTTTTTTTTTTAAGCTCAGAGAACCACTGTAGGAATCATAAACTCAGTCCGGGCACGCCCAACTGGGAGGAGACCCCGGGGTAGACCCAGAGTTCGCTGGAGGGATTATATATCCCGCCTCAGAATCCCTCAGGAGGAGCTGGAAAACGTTGCTGGGAAGAGGGACGTCGGGGTTGACTTACTGCTCCTGCTGCCACCACGACCCGACCTCGGATAAGCGGAAGAAAATGGAGCTTAGTCAGTGAGCTCTCTGATTATCCTCTAATAGATGTTTCATGGCCCGAGCTTTAAATGACTTCATAAATTTTATCCACACAGGTTTATTTCCTCCTAATGAATCTCTCAGCATGGCGGCCATTAGTCGCTGTGACCTGGTTAAGAGCCATCGCTCACACGGATAAACAGAGCAGATGTGTCCACTGCCTGAGAGACGTTACCTGCATGGAGAACTCAAAGAGATCCAGGATCAGACCAAACGGAGCATCAGGTCTGTGATCTGGTCTGGTTGTCCTGAGGTTTTGTCAGACGTTAGGGGGGTAAAGTTAGTGTGCAGGATTTTTACATGGAGATAAAGAGTCCATAACACTCTAAGCCTGTATGGACAAAAGAGTTCTCAAAACGCTGACCGGACTATTAAAGCCTTCTGGAGGTATCCTCTGGTGTTTGTTACATTCTTAGGCTGGGCATATACTGAACGATTATGTTAATGTTGTAGTGGAATATCATCTCATAATGTAAAAGTCAATCTTTTACGACCTTCAACTAAAGCTCACAAAAATCTGTTCTTTGTCTGTACAATTAGATTGTCCAGCACAAAATGTTTTATCAGGACAGAGCATTTGCAATTGTAAATCAAGTGTCCTATGAAAACTCCCACAGAAGTTCAAGTTGTTGTTTTTGCAAGCGAGCGAAAAGGTGGTGTGTTGAACCTTCCAAAACATGCATGTTGCCATGGTGATTTCAGATGCTGTCTGCCGGTTTGTGCAGGTGCAATCAAGAGAAAAAGAAGCGCTGAAGTCGGGGGAAACATCCTGCAGCTCTGCTCTCACTATGAGAGTGTGTGCAGTCGCTCCGGGAGAGTCGTTGTTAACATATGGATAACAACGAGCATAAAAAAATGATTTTCTGAGCACATTATTGAATTTATTTGTTCAAACTAAATTGATTTTTAGCATGCAAATAACTTAAACACACAATAGAATTTGAAGTTCTTTCAAAAAATCTCTCATTGATCCATCAGGAATTAATTGTAAAAAATCAGGCCATGAGATATAAAAAACAGAAGAAAAAAAAAACAGTGTGTATACGTGTGTGTGTGTGTGTGTGTGTGTGTGTGTGTGTGAATGTGAGAGGTTGTGCTGAAGATTGAGGGCTGATGAACTTGTCTCCTTGATGACCGTTAAGCCTCGTCTCTCCCCCTCCAGCCATGAATCAAATTAAAGCTTCATTTGGCCGACGGTGGGCCTGAGCTGGCTCTCTGCTGCTGCTGGAAGAGTCAGTGACACTCATCCTGTTCATCCTCAGTGAACACACACACACACACACACACACACACACACACACACACACAGATAATCATCAAGAACCTGGTCCCTCTTTTCTATGCAGCAGCTCCTTCTGTAAAAAAAAAAAAAAAAAAAAAAAAAAAATGTGTGAATTAGCGGTGTGTGTACATTTTATCATGTGTGTATCGCCTTTTGAAAATTGCAGGTAGCAGAGTGTTTAACATTCTCTTGTCAGGCGTCCTCCTGCTGGGACAATAAATGCCTGTCCAGTTTTGCTCACAGCGGCGGCTGCAGATTACAAACAGCAGGAGCACGGCACCGTCTCAACACAAAACCGATAAGGATGGCCGTCTTCGCGCCGCCGCCTCGGCTGGCTTCTCTTCACGCCAGGAACCTGCTGCTTTCTAATATTTACACACAACTACAGCGGCAAATGTACCGTAACTTCACCCGCACACACCCCTCCACACCTGGAGCCGCTGTGCATATTTTGTGTTTTTGTCTTCGGGGAGCGGGGGGGCTGTGTTTGTGACAATAGCGGAGGAGCGGGGGCTAAATTACAGCACAAACAGAGAAATTTTCATCGCATCTTTTCATCCCGGAGTTTTTAGGAGGAGGTGGGTGTGGATGATTGAAATTGTTTCAGAGTTTCTATTTCACTTTTTTTTTTTTAGGGAGGCAGGTGGGTGAAAGAAGGAGAGTTTCTGTTTTACTTTTTCTTTGAGGGGAGGGTGGAGGGTGAAATGTAGATTTGCTGTCGGAGCTGTGACAATCGAAGAGGCAGAGATTAAAGAGCAGACGCAGGAGGACACTGACACAGCAGATTGTTCACAACCACAAGACACATAAGTCTGTATGAGTTACATTAAAACACGATGAAAAGAAAAATGACTTCTTTTACCCACAATTCTCTGCCAGGACATATGCACAAATACACCCCAAAAAAGTGAAATTCTTAATCAAAATTTCACTTGCCTATCACAGAATCCTTTAGTTTTGTGAATTGTTTAAACAACACGCCTCCGTCACCGAGTTTGGCGCATTTCCTCAAGTTCTTTCTCTCATAAAGTCCGGCATCATGGAGCTGAACTCGCCGCCATTTCAGGGATTTTCATGTTAAACTGATGATTCATAGTCCGATATTTGGTGTCTTCTTGCTCTCCTCCGATCTTTGATTCGATCTTGAAAGTCGTTGATTCAGAGTTTCCGGTCTGATACGTCTTCAGGAACGCCCCCCCCCCCCCGGAGTCAGATTTCTGACTTGGAAACTGTTGGAACTTTTCAGTAGCCCGAGCTAAAATCCAACATGGCTGCTCCATGCATCAACAGTAACGTTTAAGCTGTAACTATCAGCAACGTGGTCCTCTTTTTGTGTAATTAAATCAATCACACCGTACAAAGACAAGATGACTTGATCTTGAGGATGACCAACAGGCTACGTTACAGTGGTTACATGTTGAAGTCATGTCTGCATTAGCTTCACTTTAGAAACCAGAGACGACATCCAGATCTAACATCCAGTCTGTGCTCCTCAAATCAGTTCTTTAGTAGAATAAAAGCTCATAGACAAGTTAGAGAACATTAATCACAGAATACATGTTCGTCCATCGTAACTTTCATTGTTAAACATTTCTACCTGCCAGCACAGGAATTTAAAAAAAACTCCACTTTCTCTTCCCTCTGAGCTTTTTGGACCCTGACACTTTACTTAGCGTTCCCTTAAATTTGAGTTTGAACACTTTGGCCCCCCCCTCCCACCAAAACACTGACAATTGTCAAAAACACAGGAAGCCACCGGCCCGGGAAACTGTTATTGAGTTATTGGCGTGCGGGCCAGGGGTGGAGGTGGATAAAGCGGGGAGGGGGGGGGGGGGTATCGTTCTTGTGGTGGTTAGGCGACCGCTGCGAGGCGTTCACAGTCCGCCGGCTTGACTGTCAGAGGCCGACCGCAGCAAACAGATGGACAACAACTTCCTGCGGGGCCGGGCGCTGAATGACACGCTGCGCTGGAGGAGAGGGGCCGGCTGGGGTGAAAATGTACCCCCCCCCCCACTGAAAACAGAAAAGATGCTGCTGTTGTGTTAAAGTGCTGTCCTGTTCACCCTCCAAAAACACACCAACATCCATTTGCTATCATTATGTACTGCTGCCCCCTACTGTCTATGTCGCCCTGAGGTCAGTGTTTGAGGGGGGGTTGGTGAGAGGTGGAGAGGGAGGCAGGCAGGGGGGCTTTTTACTCCTGAAGAGGCTGCAACAATCGATGGAGAGCCACCAGCCGCCACAGGGGCCCCCCAAGGGCCTTCACAGCACTCATATTAGTGGAGATGTCTTCTCGCACGGAGTGAGGGTGCAGTGTGGGGGGGGGGGTCTGTTGGGAGTTAACGAGGGTGGTGTTGAAGACAACAGAGGACGGAGGGGAAATGGACGCCCTGTCAGCGGCAGCTCAGGTGTGAAATTCTCTCCTCTCTTCGCTCCGAGAGAAAAAAATAAAACTGAGATGATTCGACAAAAGTTTCAGAACTGTCTGAGAATGATTTCTGTCAGAATGTGTCACTCAGACACATGATGAGTCTGCAGGAGGACGGGGACGGACAGGTGGAACTGCAGAAACAGGACACTGATGCAGCTGTGACTGGAGTCAGACGTGATGTTTAGGTTTACATCTTCAGAAAACAAACACACACACACACAATCAACTAGAATAAATACAATCACAACTGCTCCTGATCTGTTATTTCAGCAGTCAAGAAAATCATTCTATTAAGTCATTCAACACTGATCACTCCTAGGGACGATTCACTCAACTCACGATACGATTCTATCACGATTTATTTTACAAAATGAGACTGAAGACAAATGATGACTGATAAAGATTCCTTTAGGAGCTGTAAACCCACCTGTCAGTGTGGTTTGGCCTTTTAATGTTTTTTTTTTTCTCTCAACAAGGGGAGGTGACTGGAGCTTCTCATCGTGGTGTGGATTAAATGCTGCATCATGATGGTTGTGCTATTTGTGTAGTTCCCCGTCATCTTGTAATATTTGCACACAGTTTTTGTCTCGTCTGTTATCTTCTCACCTCTTTCATTTTCTGTCTTGAGGAATCCAAAATGCTTCCACACCTCTGATATAAAAGACGGTGGTGCGTTCTGAATTTCGAAATCTTACTCTGTAGCTGCTGACGCTCACCACATTGAGATTCATTTTTCATTGTACCGATGTGAATCTTGACACCTTTGAGTCGATTTATCACGATTTTACGATCAATCTTTGCATCCCTACTAACAACCCATTAAATAACGAACTTGTGTCATGTACCCGCGTCATGTTCACACGTCTAGTGTTCTTTCTGTCTGATTGGGAAACCTTTTAATAAAAACAAAAAGGCACAAAGTATTTCATTTCCTCTTTATTACAATAAATGTGGTTTTGAACTCATTTCATACATAAAACGTGAACATCTCTCAGTGTATAACAGAAAAAGAAAACATATAAAAGTTTATTTTTAAAGAAAGAGAACATACAGAGGAGGAGTGCAGAAAACAGGCTGATCTTTATGAGCTAGTCTTTTTGGGTCTCCTCGTCCTCAGGGCGAGTCCGGGTGACGTCTGAGTCCCCATCTCCACCCCAATCTTATTTAGGGTCAGCCTGTTTTGGGTGCTGGGGACCCTCTTTGTTTTGGGAGTTTTTGTGGGACTTTTCTTGGGACTTTTCTTCACAACGTTTTTTTCTGCAAGAGAAATTCACAACAGTTCAAAACGACCGTAAATCCTTCTATAAGTTCTGTAATTGTGAATGAACAAAATGGCCTCTGTTTTGTCTTATGAGAGTAAAAAAAAAGAAAGAAATCAAACCTTTTTTCTTTGTTGCTCTCTTCTTCTTGATGGGACTTCCATCAGTCTCGCTCTCGTCGGCTTCTTCTGGGACTTTCTTTCTCTTGGTGGTTTTCTGAAAAAAGAAGAGAAGAAAAAACAGATCTGTCGATTAGAACTGAAGCGTGGTTTCAACACGTACGCTTGTATGTCTGCCTATTCTCCTGAAGTCAAAGCTCCCATTTCATGTCATGAGGTCAGGCCTTAATAACAAAAAATCACCTCCTTTGTCCATCCTCCTCCTTTCTGAGCATCGATAAAGCCTTTTTTTTTTCTCTCCACTGCGAAAATGTCTACCTCATGATCACCACACGGCGCCCGCTGAGGTGAACAGATTGTCGGGATAATTACATACAATAACCAGCCCCGGGGCCCGCTAACCCTTCGGCTGGCAGCGCCACGTCCCCAATGGCTTTTTCCATATGCACAGAGGGCGAGAGAGCACGAGAGAGATAGCGGGTGAGAGAGAAAATCAGTTTAAAAAAAAAAAAAGAGACATACAGATAGAAAAAGAAAGATCTGAGAAGATGAGCCAAAGAGACAACTGGAAGATGGGCAGCGGGTTCTGGATTTTTTAAATTAATTTCTTGTCCAGTTAAAAGACATTTAAATTATTTCTCTTTTAAGAGAAACTCAAAGATATGTCCAGTCTTCTGTTTCTGGGTTAGGGGTTTTAAACACTATGGGTAACAGAGTCTTACTGAAAGACTGGAAATAAGGCTGATGACACTGCTCAGATTCACTTCTCTTTAACCACACCTGAACAAAATAGTGAACAGAGGAGTAAACTACTTGCTGTGTAATAGATGTCACCAACAGGTGAGGGGGTCTTTGAGCACCTAACATATAAATTAAGACGCAGCAGAACCAAGAGAGCGCTGACACATCAAGCGCATTCACAACAAATTCCCATGCGTGTGTGTGTGTGTGTGTGTGGGTGTGTGGGCTGACCTTTGCAGGAGGAGGTACAGCTCCATTGTCGGCAGTGAACTGCAGCTTTCCGTCATCTTTAGCCTGGATTGTTTTCAGTCCGGCCTGCAGGATGGAGCGGAGCTTCTCGTACGCTGGTTTGTCCAGATATCCCACAGATTTCACCTCCTCTATGAACCTCTGGATCTCATCTGCAACACAACACAGCATCTCTTTACGAACAGAAAAATCAGTGGCTAGCTCTCTCACACGTGTCACTGAATGCGGAAAAAGAAGACCAGTGAGTGTTTATCTGCTTACAGCTACAGTTCATCTAATGTTGAGTTGTATTTCCTTTTCCACTGAGTTAGTATTGTCATGTGTTAAGTCATCGTGTTCACACTCTGTGATCTGGAGGCTTTGATTAAGGATGATTAAGGAGTCTGTCTGAGGGGAGATTATGTCCTCTCTGGTTACAGCGTCCTGTTTTATTCTATCGGCACTGACCGTCCTCAGACATGACACACTCCCACAAACAAACACACACACACACACAGATGGAGTTGTAAACAACAGCTTGGTTTGTTCAGAGGAGCAGAGGGAAGCACGTGTGACTCTTTGTGTTTTCATCTTCACTAAATGAACTGAAACTCTGCCTGCAGGTCAAAGATGTAACAACTCGAACAACACGTCACAGTTTACAGTCTGCAGAGTGTGTCAGTGGACTTCTATTCTAATGAGGACCTCAGAAACCTGGGTTAAATCGATGTGAATTAGGCCGCGCTGTCGTTTAACCATTGCAGTTGTAATGCCAGAATGTAAAAAAGTGACTTGGCAGGACATGCCGTGTCAGGGACATGACCTGAAACCCGTCAAGTTGCCGCTTATTTGTATGCGTCTCTTACTCACCTGGCTTGTCTTGAGAGGAGAAACACTTGGTCATGAATTCAGAGATGTTGTCTCTGCTCCTGTGTGCGAAAAGAAGAAGTGATTTTCCTGCCTGGTTACGTCTTCACTGATTGAATAGTGAGCAGTGAAAGCAGGTACGCGTCTCTCACCTGAGCTTAGAGTCTCTGACGTAGAGCGGGTCGCCCAGCTTGTCCTCCCAGGGCAGACGTCCACACAGCCACTGAACCATGCAGTAACTCAGGATCTCCAGGTCACTGCGCCTGCAAGGAGCTGGAGACAGAAACACACAATCAGCTGCAGCAGAAAACACAACCTCTCAGTATTCATCGCTTACACATCCTCATTGCATTTAAAGAGACACACACATTAAAACAGAGCGTTCTGAGTGAGCTGATTTATACAGGGTCACAAACCTCCTCTGGTGCTTGATTCATGTTATATTTTGACCAAAGCACAACACAGATGTTTGGAGAAAGGGGATCATATGTCCTCTTTAAATAAATAAGTGGCAGTCTGCAGTTTGATCAGTGTGTGTACGTACACGCTCCTTTGTGGGCGTCGATGCTCGTGAACTCGATGGTGCCGTCGTGACACCTCTTTGGGTCTTCTTTGTACTCTTTTGGGACGCTGTCAGGGGCGAACCTGTACGCCAGCCCGTAATCGACTAAATACACCTACAGTTAAAAAAGAACACATACTTTTAGTTTCCGTGAGTTAAACGTTCAAACTGATTAAACAACTTTAGTAAAGAAACGATCAGGCACAGTAAGTTATTCGTGTTAATAAAGAAACACGGTGTAATAAAACCAAAGCTACATCCAAACAACTCCAGGGGGAATTATTTAAATTATTTAGCTCCTAAATAACAAAACAACCTTACCTAGCATTAAACCCCTGAGGGGCCCATTTCTAAATTGTCATTTATAAATAGCTCTTTAATAACAGCACCAATGATACATTATTAATCTTCAAATTAAATATTTGCCCCTGCCCTGTTTGCTGCAGAAAGCTCTTAGCTGTTGCCATCTAATCTCTCCCTGTTTGAAACACACATATAAACACACTAAACACACACACACTCTCCTCCTCTCCAAAGCCTTAATTGAATCTAATGAAGCAGCACGAGTGTGTTCTGATGAAAAAACAAAATGCCATCATCTCCCGCTCTCAGGAGCAGATCTGAGGTCAGAGCAGCACCTTTTATTTTTAGAGCATCAAAGGAAGAAGAGAGGGAGATTTGTTTCTCTTTAACGTTCCAAAATTCAACATGGCGACTTTAGTCGTGTGATGTTTCAACTGGCACTGACCTGGTTGGGATCACTGTGGCTCAGCATGAGGTTTGATGCCTTAATGTCAGCGTGCACATACTCATGTTCATGGATGTACTCCAGAGTGTCCAGCTAAACAAGAAAACACAGATGCAAATATTCACGTTGAAAAACCAAAGAGTCAATCCACACAGAACCCGCTGCATAGATGCTTCTGAACCAGAAATCAGCTGAGTGGAAATAATAAAACAAACGTCAACAAAAGAAGTCAACAACCAACAAATCATTATTCTTTTTTTTGGAGTGGCTTACTTAAATTCTAATAAGAATTATAATTATAAAAAACAAATTTAGTTGGCGCTCACAGATTGTCAGTTATAGGCGGGATATTTACGCCCCTTTAAGTTTTGGAGGGTGGAACTGTGTTCCAGCTTCTGCTTCATGTTTCATGGCCGATTAAATCTGCACAATAAAATATATAAAATCTCTCTGGTTCTGGTACTGACGCAGGCATTATTCTTTTGGGCTGAGCTACCCTGGCTCCTAAAAATAAAGCATCTCTCGTTGTCACTGATGACCATCCTTCATGATTAATGAGTAAGGGTCCAGTAATCAGATGGACCCTTGATCAGATCTGATGATCAGGAGTGACCTCGTCACCCTGCAATCAGTTGAGAGGCTAACAACAAAGCATGACTGTTAAAGATTGTGGAAGTAAGAAATGCATGCTCAGTCTGCAATATTTCCCTTAAAACGACATGCATTATTCCACTAAAATAAAACCATTTGTTGATGAATAAACTGACCAGTCGAAGGCCGAGCTGCAGCACCAGTTTTCTGGGGAACCTTTTTCCACTTTCTTCAAACTTCTTCTGTAGATCTGTGCCGAGCCTGTCGATGACCATGAACCTGTACCTGCAGGTTCAAAGAAGACATTCCTCTACTGTGTCACACTGGGGGGTCATGAATCCTCATTGATATTAGAAAAAGTATCTAGATGGTTTCAGTTTTGTCTGTTGTGGGAAGTTTATGAAACAGAAAGTAAAATTAATTTTCCCAAACAGCAAAAAGAGAGTAAAGTAGGACGAGTCTCTACATGTATCAATGTCAAAGTCAACCTTTTCTGACTGGTTCTAGTCTTACCTTTTCCCCCCTCTCTCGTGCAGACCTGAGCCCCAGTACCTCGGGACCCCCAGACACTTGAGTTTGTGAGTCTTCATCCAGCTCTGAACTGCAGAGAAACAGAAACAGGAAACGCGTCAGGACTGTCAGAGGAACTTTTCCTGTCCACAGTATCTTTAAATTATGAGTCTAAATCTGTGAAATGCAAAATGTGTATCTCAAAGGCAGGTATACATGTCTGATGGCTGTGATGCTCAAAGTAATAAGAGGAGGGAAGGGGGGGGGCTCAAGGGGGGGGCACAAGCTAATCTGCTGCTGGGACAAATATTTACCAACAACGTGAGATTCCAGCATGAATAAAATATGAGCCTTTGGTTCCTTAGTAATATAACAGTTAATTGTCAGGGGAGATTGACATTTGGAGTGTTATTATATAAAATGCAAAGCTGTGGCCCGGGGCCAACAAACAGCCCTCCTCCCCCTTCCCCCTCTGCAGGCCCCCCCCCATGCTTCAGATACAAGGACTGTCTTTTTAATTAAGAAAGTTCTCTTTCTTTTATTTGTTTACACTGATGGTGAGAAACTGTTTTATGATGGTGAGGCCGTGTGTGTGTGTGTGTGTGTGTGTGCACGTGTAGCTAACTTACTCAGATCAGGTTTAGCAGCTCGCATGTAAAACTTGAGCTCAGAGAACAGAGGACCGTTTTCGCTGGGCTCCTGCGGACAAAACAACGAATGAATAACTGTGTGGATTTAAACAATGTTAAAAATATGGACGTTGTTGATTCAGGTGAAACTATGAAGATCAAATTAAACACTAACCGCCCCTTCTGGACACACACAGAGTAACAGGACACAAAAAGTTGTTAACTCATCAGCTCGGTGTGTAATTTTCATATAACCCTTACGTCACTTGATATGGTCACTGATACAGCTGCTCTTCAGATAGAATGAATATCTATCTATCTAAAAATGTGTTCTATCTCTTACCAATTACAGGTTTTGTTCTGTGGCTATAGCCACAATCTGTGGTTTTATATCTTGTGTGTTTTGCTCTGTGTTCTGCAGCAGATCCTCTGACCTCCTCTGAAAAGAAGAAGTCTATAATCTTTACAGTAAAGGAGACAATTGGTTTTAACTCAGTCTAAAGAAGCACAATCTGACACCTTGTTAAGCAAGGTGCTTACCACACAGTAGTTAACAAACTAAATTAGCAAACTACATGTGCTAAACAAATTTGACAACTTTTATAAACTAAAGAGAAAGCATTGAAAATGTGGTTTAGTTCTTATTAGGGAACTTCACACATTTTTTAATAGTTTTAATAGTCGATGTTTTGAATTTATTCAGTCTTACCACTTTGATAACGTATCGAGCGTCCACACCCACAGATTTGGCAGAGTTCTCCTCCGCTGGGGAAACACAGGAATCATTTTACTACAACAGATTTGACTATCATGTGACCAACAGAAGTGAACACATATTTGGCTTTAAAAATATAACTTCACAAAAGTGCAGTCACACTATCGTTTTTTCAGAAACTAAAATGTGAAGAAGGTCATCAGAATTACCCAAGTATATGAGCCCAAAGCCTCCCTGGCCGATAGGAGCCCCCAGCTTCCAGGACTTCTTCCCCGTGTCAGTGAGGACCTCTCCGGGGGGGAACTCTTCTGCCAGCTTCCTCTTAGCCGGAGCTCTGCCTTTCCCTGCAGGCTTGGCTTTAGGAGGCATCTAGAACATCCAGTAGTGTTGTCAGGATAGCAGTATTTAAACTGTGATATGATACTAGTAACAATCAAATGTCGATACCTGTTTCGATACCATGGCAACAAAAATAGAAGACCCAGGCACCCGACTAGGGCTGAAAAATATGTTGTTTTAACAATGCAAATACGACATGAACATGTACGGTCACACTGCAGGATGTGCGATACCAACCATGTGGCCTGAAGTACGTCATGCTGCCATTCTTCTGTTGTTTGATGAACACAAGAACAGCCAGCTTTCTTGTCTAATGTCACCCTTAGTGGTAACAGAACTGACCGTTGAGAGTTTGTGTTTCCCCTGCATGTAAAATGTAGACGTGCAGGAGACGCTGCTGCCATCATGTACCGTGACGCTAAATGCAGACGCGGGTTTGAAAAGAGTGTGTTTCTGGATCAGCTCATAAATGCCGTGGCCACATACTAGACTACTGATTGTTTACTTTAAGGGGGTAAGTGAATCACGGTGAGATTTTGTTTAATCAGAAGTTACAATCACTGGGCCGGCCATGCAAACTTAAAACTTTGAATGTTGCTCAAAATGGTTGAAGTGCAACAAGTCAAAGTACAACAAAGTGTAACTCTTTAATAAGCTAAAAGTTTATGGAGAAATGTGTCACGCCTCCTGTTCTCATTACTTCTCCGTGTGTGTGTGTGTGTGTGTGTGTGTGTGTGTGTGTGTGTGTGTGTGTGTGTGTGTGTGTGTGTGTGTGTGTGTTTGTGATGACAGCAAACTCAAACACTGTCTAACTTGAACAGATGCCAACATATCTGTACGATACATATATATATATATATATATTTTTTTTTTTTTATTGGTGTTTTTCAAATCATAACAGACGTGTGACTATAAGGGTCAGTCTGACAGCTAGTACACACGAGAAAGACAAGCAAAACAAACACATACAAGGAAATACAAGGTTACCCTAAACCCTCATCACAGTCATTTATTTTGCAGAATATTACTAAAGTTTAATTTAAGAAGTTTCTCTTCTCAGTAATCATCGTCTTTGACTTAATCACAGAGGTTTTATTATAACTTATAACCGGAAATAGATAGTGCTAAAACGTAGACTATGAGTACGTCTTACAAACGGTGATTATTAACGTGTTATTAATGTTTTATATTTCACAGATATGAACATCTTGTTTACTGGTGAAGTTAGCTAACCTGTAGTTTCTGTGTTCGCTACACACAGCTGTAGTAACTGTGTCGTAACCTCATCATGTCTCATCTCTCTTATAATCAAAGAGTGTGGACAGGCAGAGCAGGTGGATTAATGCGACATAAGCCATGCTATTTGAAGACACTTTCAGTTTCCATAAACATCCATTAGCTGTCATGCTAACCGCGCTGTTAGCATCGTTAGCTGCTCCGTGACGACGTTTGATAACAAAAAACTCCATCATGAAAACTAAACTACTTCTCCCCTCAAACTGCTGCTTACATGTGTGATACGATAACATACTTTTGTGTACATACCTTATGTGACTTTGTGGGTTATTGTTGACTTCTCCGTTGAACTGTGAGAGGACCAAACTTCCCGCAAAACTACCGGTCAGGAAGTGACGTCATCACACGGCGCTATTCTATTGGACGTTTCATAGCTGCGTCACGATTGAACCGGTGACGTTTGAATGCAATGTTTTGAATGGGTTTATTGAACAGGAAGTAAGAACTCCTCATATGACTCAAACATACAAAGTGGAGAACTTTGAAATCGTCTTATTTTATTCACCCTGCTCTGTGTAATAAAACACATCTCCAAGGCAACAGTTGAACCTAAATTAACCATCATATCCGTGCTAAGGTAGAGTCTTTAAGGACAGCAATGTACTTTTTTAACCTTGCAGAAATATCTCACCTGTAATTCTGAACAGATATTCATATCCCCATTTGGAATAATTGTTTTCATAATTTATAGTTTGTTCAAAATGTGACTTTGGTAGCTTACAATGCTTCTTATCTATTTATAGCCTATTGTTTTTTTTGTTTTTTTTAATTAATTAATATGCTTTGCTAAATGTCATAATACACAGTAACTTTTACTTTTTGATTTTAAACCAGCATTGTTATAGTTCAGCCATTTTTTGCTTATTATATTTAAATTATTTTTCATTTTAATGTAATGTCCCTGAATCCTCGGGAAGACGTTGTGCGGTGGATTGTTAAACAGAATCTGTTGCGATTAGTCGAGACCAGCAGGTGAGTCTGTGTCCGGTGAGACAGTGAGACTTTGTGGGAGCCAGGGTTTTCTTTAAGCGTGCTGAGCTGATTACTTTTAGTATTCGTTCACTTTAATTGACAGACCCAACACAATTCTCAAAAACAAATTGGTGATATGTTGAACTGTAACGACTGTGGGTGAGGTTTTCTATTTTACTGTTGTTTTTTTTTCTTTGTCATGATGCTACAGGCTATAAGTCAACTTGACTTGAGTTTAACAAAATAAAAGTATTAAAAACCAATATTTTTATTTAAATAGGATTATAAAATATCACGTTTTTCGACGCTTTGAAATCGTATCTCTTCCAGTGAAAGAAGCCTGAAAACACTTTTTTAATATACATTTTGGGCTTTTAATGCCTTTATTTTTTATAGGACAGTGGATAGAGTCAGAAACCAGGGAAGAGAGAGAGAGAGAGAGAGAGTGGGGAATGATGTGCAAGAAAAGAGTCTGAGGACAGTCTATGATGAGGTAAATGTGAGCAAAACATGATTTCTTCTTTCTGTGAGTACAGCAAATCATGTTGACTATCAATGTGAAACTGTGTTCTGTGGAAGTTTAATTCTTAAATGTTTCTATATGTTGATTATTGACTTTACACTAAACAATGTGAATAAAATATGACTCTGTTTGTGCCTTAAAATCATAAAAAAATGTGACGACAGTTAGGCCTCTTCACTTTTTAAGAGTCCACTCTGCGTGAATCTAACATTGCTTACATGTTTTTGTTGATGATTTGTCCTTCATGCTTCAACAGTTTGTGATAAATGTGATTATAGCCTCGGGTTGTGTCAACAGCTGATAAAAAAAAAAGGAGAAATAGAGTGAAATTAATCAGGATGCAGCTCCACGTGCGACCTCAGAACTCTGTGATTCTGACAAAAAAAAGTCCCTGATGCAAACCTGAGGGGAACAATCAACAACTTTGCAACAGGTATCAGGGTGCATAGGGCTTTTTATTCATGTCACTGACAGAACCAAAAAGTCTTACTGGAGAAACAGCCAAATCGTTCTCCTGAAATACGACACAAGAAAGAAACCAAACCATCATAAAGTAAGTGTCTTGGTGGGTGTGGCAGGTATTGTCTCATTTGTCTTTCTTTCTCAGGGCCCTTATTGTGTTTCTGTGTCTGTCCTGCATCATTTTAAAGGAAGCAGCACAGCTATCAGCACAGCTATCTAACCACTTCATATTCTCCTGAACGTCTGTGTGAACGTTGAATCTGAATAGGAATGTAAATGTGCAGAGCCTGCTTTGAATGAGTCATCTGATACAAACATATTGAGTTTCACTTGCAGCCCGGTGTTCGGCTCATGAATAAGATATTGTTTCTTTAGTGCATGTCCAGGTGATCGCAGGGAGCAGCTGATGGTGTTTCTGTGTGAACATCAGCTCTCTACATATTTCTCTCTACATCCATATCGCTGTTTATGTCAGAGGTCCTGGAGGTGATCGATTATTGTTGACACGTCATAGGGTTTCTTGCCTCCAGAGAGAACTGAACGCCACTGAGGGATGACCGGCTGCAGCGACGATGAGGAGCAGAGTGATGAAGGAGAAGAGACCAACAACAAGAAGCAGCATCAGAAGAAGAAGACGAAGAAGGAGAAGGGGAGTAAAGCAGAGAAACATGTGTCGTTCCCTCCTGATGAACTCATCGTGTCAGGATTCTCTGAGCACAGAGACAACGACAGGAAGGGTGAGCTGCTGTTTGTGTTAAAGGAAGAATGTGCAACATTTGACACATGAATATATCAGACTATCCTGTGTAAATGTGTCTCTGAGTCATGACTGTCTACAATGAGTGAGAAGCTCGAGTCCCGCTGGCCGTGTTGTTGTCAGAGTCGTGTTTACATGGACGGGACGGCCGGCTCCTCCCCTTGTGTATAAAAGATGTTTTAGTGAAGGACTAGAGAAGAAGAACATACTCACTGATTATTTGGATGTTATCAAGAATTTTTAGATCACGGTCGTTCTGTGTTAATGTACATGCAATGTGAAGCTACGAGCTAACTAAAGAGCACTAACATTAGCATGCTAACACAACAATGCAGGTCACGGGTAATTGCGGCTCTAGCAAAGGAAAATTTTGTCCGCTGCTTGCACTTGACTCCTTAGTTTGAACCTGAGTGGAGAGGGGTTGGAGGTGTGTCTCTGGGGGAGAGTGGAGGCTTCAGTATGGAGGAGGCGTGGCCTAACAGCAGTTTGTTTTGTTTTCATGCTGGTGCTCAAGGGCGACCCCTACTGGATCAAAAAGTTGCAAGTTCATCCTTTCAAATGATTTTGTAAACCTTCATTTGCACACACAGTGTTTGTTTTTTTGGTGCGAGTTCTTCCTGCATCTGTTGTTGCAGCAGTGTGATTTTAGTCATGAGTATGTCTTTAACGTCTTCATGTTTTAAATATCAGAATAGTTTGTGTTGAGTTGGTGACGTGACGATTCACCTGTATAATTGGTCAGGTGCTGTTAACACCGCCCCCTTTATGTGAACTCGTAGAGACTCTGGGTTTAGGGTGACAACCAGCTTAATGTGACCGCTTAGCGAGACCTCTGATGTCAGTGTTAGTGAAGCCACACCAAAAGATATGTTTTAATCCTCTTCGTAGTCACGCCTCTGGAGATTAGGATGTTTGTAAGAATTGTGTCATGTTAAGTATCATAAGTTTCATCATGTAGAAACCCTGACTTTTGATGCTAACTGAACTTGCTACCGGACCTAAAAAGCCTCTGCATGTTTCTAATAAGCTCCACGAGCAGAAACGTGCTCAAACTAGGATCAATATTGGAGATGCTTTTGAAAAATGGAGAGAGGTTAGAACACAGAACGGTTTCAAGTTACATATTGCTCCTTGAATTCTAGTATGCACAGTTTATTTATATTTTCATATGCAGGACTACATGAACCTCAGTATTCTGGTTTCACACAAAATCTGTGTTATCAGAGAGACCGGACCCGAACTATTACTGTCTTTAATATAGAAACATTTCAAATACTTACTCCCCGTCAGTTTGAACGTACCAAGAACGTTTCCTTCAAAATGCTCTTATTTCAAAGGTTTGTAGAAATTTGGGAAAAATACATAATAGGACACACTGGATAGAGGAGAGCTAATCTTTAGTCACAAACTCTGCAAACATTTCCTATATTTCCTAATATTTCATTGTCAGCCTGCCTCTTTCTAAAACAAAAACAACTCGTCTCCACACCTCACCTTGTGTCTCTTTCTTCCTTTCTCTTTTGTCTCAGGTGACAGCTGTGTCACCTTGGCGGAGGTGATGTCGGCGTATGAGCAGAGCTGCAGCAGACATCAGGTGGAGCCCAAAGAGTGCGTCCTTCAGCAGCTACAGGTACACACACACACCTAACATATCAGAGCTTAAAGTGCTGCAGTCATACAGAATGAGGTTTATGTGTTTGTGTTGGATTGACGGTTTAAAGTTTGACTTTCTGTGTTGTGTGATCAGAGAGACTTTCACGAGTTCCCTGAATTGAAAAATGCAAAAACTCAGACTTTTCCTGAGAATCTTCTGGGATTTTTTTTCTGGTAATGCACCAAAATCTCCGTTCTCGTGTAGTTTGATTCTGCTGAACATGAGCGTTTGAATTCAAACAGTAAAAACAGATCCTCGAGTACGATCTAAACTCAAACCTGATATAAAAAAACCTGCACGGAGAAATATTGCGTTTAAAGAAGTGTGTGTAACCGTGTTTGTTTTTTTTAATGCAACATCAGCAACTCTGCCCGTAAAATAACTGAACATGTAGTTATTATACGGCACTGCAGAAAAGGATCAATAACTACAATTTAACCTGATACAAGTCACACCTGACACTCTGTCAGAGCTCGTCACACTGAAAACTGGAGATTTCAATAACATGAAGGCAGATCCATGGAGCAGAGACACACAAGTACAAGCACTCTCTCTGTACACACACACACACACACACACACACACACACACACACACACACACACACACACACACACACACACACACACACACACACACACACACACACACACACACACACACACACACACACACACAGTGTACACACTCAGTAAAGTCCCTGAGATCATTTAAATCATTTGGTTCCATCAGACTCTATCTACTCTAACAGCGTCTCACACATGAGACAAAGAGCAGGTTAACTACGGGGCTCAACTCAGCGTGAACGCACACACACATACGCACACACACACACACACATACACACACACACACACACACACACACACACACACACACACACACACACACACACACACACACACATACACACATACACACTAACACGACCTTTCAAGCTCACTGGCCCAAAGCCTCTAAAGCAACACCCTCAGACAATCAGGTCATCAGCCTTTTTGATTAAGTTAATCAAATGAAAGCAAAAATATATCTGTGATTTCAGACCTCATGCTCTACATAGTTCTGATATTAAATTGGTCTTTAAACTTGCTCCCATATATGTACAGTACGTGCACACACACACTCACACTCACACACACACACACAGTCAACACACACACACACACACACACACACACACACACACACACACACACACATTCTCTGCCTCTCTAATAAACTAAACTCATTTATTCTCTCTGCGCTGCACTTGAAACACACTGCGTGCCATTTATAATTCATTTTATGTACATACTTACTTTACTCGGGCCAGCCATGTTAAAGCACGCTGCTTTAAAGCACCCCCCCTGCATAAATTGGAGTGGAGATCAAGGGGAATTATTTGTGGAAAATTAGAGTGTTAGCAGTGCTTACATTAAGCATACAGCCGCTGTATTATCTCTGAGGTGCTAATGAAGGCAGTTACAGTGCAGGCTGAATGTAGGTGGTCCTCCTGAAGAGTAAAATATGTATGGTTAAGCATTAGCTAAGAGGGGCAATATTTAGACCAAAAGGGCTGCGTGTGAATGAATCAGTAATAAGACGATGCAAAACGAGGAGACGAACGCCTAAAGAGCAAATTTATTAAATTAGGTCTGTTCATGCGCGGGGCGATTCCCCCGAGGAGCAGCGATGAAGACTATTTAAAGCTTCTTTTTTTTTTATTGTACCCTCGGGCCCCTCTGCACTCCTTTGAAATGTAGTAAGTGGATAAAACAGTGTTGCTGTTGGTGACATCTTCATGGGAGTGGTAAACAATAACATGTCGGAGCCAGCGGGGGTCTGAGGCCGCAGAGCTCAAACTCTCGGAGTTTTCTCCTCTCTGACTCGGTGATGGGAAACTTAAAGGAGATGATCGAGATTCATCGCTGCACAGTGGAATGGTTGTAAAACATGGAAGAGGCTAACGCAGGCGTTTCTGTGAGGTCAGAGAGAGCAGATTTTTATTAATTTATCCATTCCGCTTTTCCCCATTTTGGGTTCGCAGTTGGCTGGAGCTGATCCCAGCTGTCATTGGGTGAGAGGCGGGGTTACATCCTGGGGTGTTCACCAGCCAATCACAGGGCTGGCGTGTAGAGACAGACAACCAGCCACACTCACATTCACACCTATAGGTAATTTAGAGTCAGCAGTTAACCTAACGAGCATGTCTTTGGACTGTGGGAGGAAGCCGGAGAACCCGGAGAGAAGCCTCACATGCACGGGGAGAACATGCAAACTCCACACAGAGAGGCTCCTGTCAGACGGGGATTCAAACCAGGAACCTCCTCACTGTGAGGCCACAGCGCTAACCAGTCCTCATCAAAACATAATACAGAGATACCATGAGTCATTTTTTCAGAAATCTTAAAGATGTATCCTTCCTTTGAGCATGTAAATGTAAGACATAAGTGTGAGGAGCGTTAACCCGGGTCATTTATTGACGGATTGATTTCAGTTTACTCAGAACATAAAGCTGCTGTTGTTGTTTTTATTTCCTGACCCTGCAAACACAAGAGGATTGTGAGTCAAACACACTGAATCGCTGACTCTGTATTCTCTGCGTGATGTTTGCAGAATAATCTGAGAAGGAGTTGCATGTTGGCAGATCTTCTAATGAACAGTTTAGCGCGCGTCTCCGTGCAGATTATTCAGCCGAGTGGACTGAAGAGGAATCAATTACACAAACTTCCCTTTCATTATTTATTATCCCACTGCTAGGCCACAATACGGCTCCGTTCAACTCATTCAGAGGGTTAAATTCTACTCCCACCGATTGTTATTTTACTGGATAAACCTCTGTGAGGAGGGGGGGGGGAGGGAGGAGACACAGACAAGAGAGAAAATCTGTTTCTACAGACCACCGCTGCTTTCTCAGCTCCTTTGATTAGCATTAATGTTGCACTGCGGAAGTCTGCAGAACACACGCACAAACACACACACACACACACACACACACACACACACACACACACACACACACACACACACACACACACACACACTTCCAGCTTTTAAATTAAATGCATGCTGATTGTTATTGCCCCCTCTCCCAAAACACACACACTTACAAACACACACACACACTTACAAACACACACACACACACACATACATCACACACACACACACACACTGACACACTGCAGCGAGTTAAATGTCACTCAACGTGTCACACATTTTTTTTTTTTTTTTCTTTTTGGTTGTTAGCAGGTTTGAATGTAAAATAAAATCACAGAGAGGAGGAGGAAGTTTATGAGGAAGAGCAGGAAAATGAGAAAAAGGAGGAGGGAGATGATGGAGAGGTCATGGAAGAAAGATGAGGAGGCGAAGGTGGAGGAGGAGAAAGGAAGGAAGGATGTGAGGGAGGGAGGAGAGGTTAGGAGATGAGGAAAAGGAGGAGGTGCAAAGCTGAGACAGAGTTGGGGGAGAAGGGAGATGAGTAAGAAGGCTGAGAAGAAAATAGAGTAAAAAGAGAAGGAGGATAGGAAGGAGGAAAGGGGGAAGAGGAGGAGGGGGAAAATGAGTAGGTTGCAAATAAGGAGGAGGTATAGGAGGAGGAGGAGAGGAAAGAGGAGGACTAGGCCAAGGAAGAGTTGGGATGTTATAGGAAAAGGAGGAGAAGAAGGAGGTGAAAGAAGGTGGTGTATGTGGACAGTGAATGGAAGAAAATAGATGGATTAGGAGAAAGAAGAATTGTAGGAAGAGCAGAAAAGTAGAAAGAGGAGGAAGACAAGGTGTATGAAATGTTGGAGGAACTCGGAGAGTTCACACAGAGGAGACGCTCTGACAACACACAACAAAAGTTCATCCAAAAAGTTAAAAACACACATAACAACTCACAAAGAGGATGAGGGCGTGTAGGAGGAGGAGGTGTCAGGGGAATAGGAAGAGCGAGAGGAGGTGTAGTAGGAGGGAAATGCATGGAGTATAAGAGGAGTAGCTTAAGGAGGAAGAAGAAGAGTAGGAGAAGTAGAAACAGGAGGAGGAGGAGGAAAAGCAGGAGGAGAAGGTGAAGAATTAAAAGATGCTAGAAGAGGAGGAGGAGGAGGAGGAGGAGGAGGAGGAGGAGGAGGAGTGCTCCTGAGGTTTATCAGGGAGCAGCAGGAGGGCCGGACATTTTTTGCTCCTCTCATTACAGGCTGACACGGCGATAACAGGGAGGCGTCTTCAGGGGAAGACATACACACACACACACACACACACACACACACACACACACACACACACACACACGCTCTCTCTCTCTCTCTCTCTCTCACTCTCACTCTCTTCCTCTAATTGAATCAGAGCAGTTACAGTTAAACTAAAGTGTGTGTGATGCTCTATTGGTGGTGACTATTAGGCTGGATTGAATTTGCACGCTCAGCTGGTCGCACACGTAACACGAGTGCTTTAGTGAGCAGGATGATGTTACAGAACTCAGACGCTCTTAGACGCTCACACACAACAAAGGTTAACACAAAAAAGTTAAAAACACACACTAAGAGTCTGCGCATTCACCGGGCTCATGGCGACCATTCCTTTATGATCTGATTTGTAGAGCTTCATGGCGTCGTCACACCTGTAGATCGTTTGCTCTGGTCTGAATCATGGACCAGTTTGTTACCTAAAGTTTGGTTTGTTTTTCACATGAGGACATTTACAAGCGGACCAAAATGTGTGATGCATGAGGAAAATGCTCTCTGATTGGTCAGAATTTCTTGAAGGAAAAATCCAGGAAGTAAACAAAGACTTGTCACCTCCTGACTGGATGTGCCTGCTCCAAAGACACTTTACAATTTCTAAATGGACAGACGACTACACGGACTGATGTCGGCTCTGATAATAAATTTTTATATTGTTGCATTACTGTATGTAAAATTAAGCAGTTTGTAAATTATGCGCGACTGCAGCTCCAAAATAACATGCTGATGTAATGGAGTAGCTGAAGACGCTCATCTAGACAGTTCAGGAGA